GAGGAGGAGAAGGGAAGTAGAAGGGAAGATTAGTCCCAGATCAGATTCAAATAAAAATATCCCCTAAATTTTATCTAAATGAAATTCTTGGCAATACATTAAAGATATCATTTTTTGAAAACTGCAATCATGCTTTATGGAAAATTCTAAGATTAATAAAGTATATTCAAAATGAAGTAAGAGAAAATAAAAACTTCCTGGCTTGGCACCCACAGCTCAGTAGTTAGGGTGCCAGCCGCATACACCGGGGCTGGTTAGTTTGAACCTGGCTGGAGCCTGCTAAACAACAAAGACAACTGAAACAAAAAAATAGACAGACATTGTGGTAGGAGCCTGTAATCCCAGATACGTGGGAGGGTGAGGCAAGAAAATCGCTTAAGCATAAGAGTTTGAGGTTGCTGTGAGCTGTGAAGTCATAGCACTCTACCAATGGTGACATGGTAAGTCTCAAAAAAAAAAAATTCCTAAAAATTCTTCTGGACTTTTAAAATAATCTGATAAAAGTCTCTCTAGATGTCAAAAAGATGTAAACTCAGTATTAATTAGATATTTAATTAGTGTTAGATTTTAAGCTGTGACAACTCTATATCCATATTCTAGCAGAAAACAGGTCTCAATAAATGTTTTTAATGATTGAAGTGCTTATTTTCATTCTCACATAGGTTTAGATTAACCAGATTTAAATTCTGTAAATTGAGCTTTTATGCACTCTATGTATTTGTTAGACTGAGACCTTGCTGAAGTTGTTTAGGCTAAGTTACGGCATTTGTCACATCATACCATATGTTATCTATGGATAGCTTTGATCTCTTTCACTAGCTGCTGTTTAACCTTAAAATTGTTATTGACTTTACATAGTCCAATGTTATGTAATGTTATAAAGTCTAATATTACATAAAAGTAAACACAGCCAGTATTTACAGTACAGAAAATAAGAATCACGGATTTAGAAAAATATTCATTACTAAAATAAATTTTTAAGTGTTATTAGAGAATTAAATCTAGTTTTCTGTAATCCAGACTTTTTATCTTTTTGCACAGCTCCTGAACTGAACCATAACAGGTTCTAGGAGATTCCTTAATCCTGATTTATGAAAATCATTTGACAATTAAAAGATTTTAATGAAATATCATAAATTATCAATAAACCATCATTCTGATACAAATAAAAGCTTAATAAATTAAAGCAAGATTTTTATTATTGGATTATAATCTTCATATACTTTTAAATGCATTCTGCTGAATTTGGGAGTTCAGTCAAAATGGGTCTGTCACGTTAGTTCAAAATTTATTAGGCAACTAGCTCCCTTAAGCAAAGTCGTGTGTTAGGACTGTGTCTTCTCATATAACCTCTCATAAAAATCAGGTATTTTTCCTTTTTTACTTTATCCATTGTTATTTAAATATCATTAAGAAAGTTTATTTTACACATACAACCTTCAGAGTGTCCCTTCAAAAGACGTATTTCCTTAGCAATATCCAACACTGTGGGATTTATAAGAAGACTTTCCCATGACCAGTGGAATGCTCTGTTGGCATTCAACCTTATTTTACACATTTCTAGAAAATTCTGTCTGGTTCTTTTACTTTTCCATGCATTTCTGTTCTGGGAAGACCACAGAAGTGCCTGTTCTCTTCATTCCAGAAAAGCTGACAGGAACTCACATGTGAGTGGCTTAACCTTCTCTCCCACTGGACCCTGGAAAGTGAGATCCTGCCTGCCAGGGACACCCTTTCAAATAGAGTTTACTGGATAGCTTTTTGTCTGGGCCTTTTCCAACTCAATCCATATGAGAAAAGTATTTTAAGAGCCCCAAGAAAATATACCCATTTGGTTGTTTACAATGAAAACAAACAAAAAATTCTTCCCTCTCACCAGGGAAAAGAAGGCTTCTCATGCTATATGATCTAAGGACATTTAAAAGTGTATTTTCAGCAGAGGATTAATGTGGGAAGAAAAAGAAAGAAAAGTATCCTTTCAACAGTCTCTGATTTCACTATAAATCAATCAAAAAAATTGGGCTTTTGGATTATTTTCTGAGAAAATGGGAAAAGTACATTTTTCTTTTCTTTTGCTTTTTCTAATTTGCCTTTGTGCTCTTGACCCACGAAACTGTATCTGATTACATTTCAGAGAGAGAATAATAAAGCTAAATTGGTGACTGACATTTTAACAGACTGAACAGTAATATTTCACCACTGAAATCCTGGACAGTTTTCTAAGGGCTCTTTTTATAAGTGGGCTTCATAAATAGCCAGTACATTGAGGATTTAATTATGAAAGCAGAATGCTTAGTTCACAACCCTCTTTTCAGAGCCGAATACCTCTTCATTCTTAGACTTAATGTCTTAGAGAGTGCAATCACGAGCACTTACCTTGTTTATTTCCCAGCCTTCATCCAACTTTTCCACTGCACCTGATTCCTGAGTAGACTCCTGAACATCAGAAGTGGTCTGCTTCTCTCTGCCTGGCAGAGTAAACTTTTCTTTCTTTTCTGTTGAGCATTTTGATTTGAGAATGCTATTGAGATAATTTTCTGTGTCCTGCTTAGCAGATTCAAGCCTTTTTTTCAAATCTTTTTGTTTACACTTAAGTGATTTTATATCATCCTTAATAATCTTCTGTCCTGCTGAAGATGTATTTTGCTTGATGGATTCAGCTAAAGCAAAAATCTTTCTTAATGTGTCATCGTGTAGATGGAATCTATCCTCTAGTTCCTAGGAGTGGAGAAAAGATTGTTACAAAAAGAATCTCCAGTTATCGCAAGAGTTAATTGACTTTTGTAAATCACAGAGTATTGTGCTTCACTAGTGGGAAATGCAAAATAAACTTATCAACTCATCACACAGAAGAAACTTTGGGCAAAATTTAAACCAATATAGCATCTTAGATCAAATTCTTAAACAGATCCTAGAAGATACTAGAAAGTTTGCAACAAGTAATGCAAGAATCTTTCATAGCACAGTTCTTGGAACATTAGGAGGCAATCCATAGATATCTGTGTAATACATATTTTGTACCAGTATAGCCTTTTTGCACAAATGAAACACAAAACAATAAGTGCCTACTATGTGAAAAGGAATCAAAGAATCATTTAGAACATGCTAATAAATCTAAAGCTAATATTTATTTATTGTATTATTTTTTTGAGACAGAGCCTCAAGCTGTCACCCTGTGTAGAATGCTATGGCATCACAGCTCACAGCAACCTCCAACTCCTGGGCTCAAGTGATTCTTCTACCTCTGCCTTCCAAGTAGCTGGGACTACAGGCGCCCACCACAATGCCCGGTTATACTTTGGTTGTAGTCGTCATTGTTGTTTGGCAGGCGCCAGGCTGGATTCAAACCCGCCAGCTCAGGTGTATGTGGCTGGTGCCTTAGCCACTTGAGCCACAGGCACTGAGCCTAAAGCTAATATTTAAAACTCAGGCAGGGCACAGTGGTTCACACCTGTAATCCCAGCACTTTGGGAGGTCAAAGTGAGAAGATCACTTGAATCTAGGAATTCCAAACATCTTTAAAAAACTGAAAAAAGAGGCATCTCTGTCTCAATGTCAGGCTACTCTGGAGAAGTCTTGTTGAGCCCCCAGATCCCTAAATGGAAGAGAAAAGCAATCCCTAAGCTCATACCAGCAATGCCACACAATGAGATTCACCTTTGAATTTTTCAGTAAAGGAACTCAGAAAGAAGTGGAGCAGAAAATGCTTTATTCTGTTTTCTTCTAAAGGACATCATTCAGGCCTGCGCATGTGGGCTGTGTGAACAACAGTAATCCTCACAGGGTAAGGTTAGGTGTTGTAGGGGTGAGAGTGAGAATCTTAGAAGCCCTAAATTTGTGAAGAGCTCTCATTTATTCCATGAATGTGAGGGAATCAAATAACTTTTATCCACATGATGAAAAAAATCAAACAACTTTTATTCACATGATGAAAAAATCAAACAACTTTTATCCACATGTTTAAGAATGCTAAATTAAAACACGTTCTCAAGATCTTGTTGTACAAGGTGTATCCTTTGACAACTCAGTATCCTCTGGAATCACTAGGTTGTCTCTAAAATAAAGACATCCAGGAGCTACAGGCTGGTCATGGGCACAACTGTCTCTGGGGGCCCATGAGTCAGAGTACTGCTCAACTCAAATGACAAATGGATTTGGCCACTAAAGAAGACTGTTCCTTTTTTTTTTTTTTAAAAAACAATGGGCCAGAGCTTTAATTATCCAAGTGATCTGAATAGGACTTGAATTTCTAACAGAGACACTGATTGGTCAAGATGTAATTAATATTAATTTTTTTTTATGTCAATCACATCTAGACATTGCTTAATACCTGTAGTTTCTGCAATTTTTCCTCAAGTGCTATTTGATCCACAGGCTTATCAGAAAAACTGACAAGATCTTTGGAGAAACTGTCCAATGTGGTGTTTAGGTCGGTGACACAAACTTGGTATGAGTGGTGTTCTTGAACATGACCTTCCAGTTTCTGCACAGAATCCTAAAAATAAAGCCATTGGTAATTTATAAAGTATTTCTCTCTGAATTTTTTCACTCAAAAAACAACTAAATGATTCATAAATTCTTATTTACAAGATTCCTCTTGAAACAGAAATACAGCTATAAATTGTCCAAAATTCTTAAGCAAATATTTTAAGGTTTGGGATATTTTACTACAAACTCTCTACTTCGTCCCCCCAAAATGACTCTTACTGGTAACACATTTCTTCTTTGCTTCTTTGCCTTCATTTCCTCCATGAAGAATATTTGTCAAGACATTTACAAAACAAAGTGGCTGCAAATTATATCATTAAATCACAAACATCTATGATAAAGCAGCTTCCTTCACTATCCTTTTCACTGAAACCAAGTACCCACACTTGGAAATGACACCAATTGAGATCAAACTAATCCCACATTCCTATCCAAAGAATCAAATTCCAAACTTGTGTATTAGGAAAATGTAATGCTATCAGAAAAGCAAAACCACCTTCAGGTTCTCTCCTTGGTATAAGCAAATAGAAGGACCACACCTGAGCAGAAAAGCAGCCACTGTTACACTAGATAATTTACAGCCAAGTAGGTCTAGCCTAACCCCTGTCCAACTCCTGCTGTCTGTGTAAGGAGAATTTCTTTCTTATGAGACAGAGCCTCAAGTTATCCCCCTGGGTAGAGTGCTCTGGCATCACAGCTCACAGCAACCTCCAACTCCTGGGCTCAAAGCAAGTCTCCTGCCTCAGCCTCCCAAGTAGCTGAGACCACAGGTGCCTGGCTATTTTTTGGTTGCAGCTGTCATTGTTGTTTGGTGGGCGCCAGCTGGATTCGAACCCACCATCTTAGGTGTATGTGGCTGGTGCCTTAGCCACTTGAGCCACAGGCGCTGAGCCAGGAGAATTTCTTAACCCAGGTAATCTTTACGTTGAATCTGGCTTTCAGTGTGCAAAGAATGATAAACAGTTCTGTTGAAAGAATATACTCCCTCATGACAAGCTAACATTTTTAACTCTTTTACTAAAGATCACTCAGAAAGATCTGAGGGAAGGTCACTGATGAGAAGGTGAATATAGGATAACTGAAATAAATTATTACCAGATAAATGATGGATGGCTGGGTGACTTTGATGCCATCAACTTCATACCAATGCCTACAAAATCTTAACTTATCCTACCCCTGAAGAGGGGAATCTCGATGAGAGAAAATAACACCATCATCAAGTAATACACAATAGATTCCTCCAGTAAAACTGACTACATTTCTCCCTCAGTGCTCAAAAGTTAGCATTCTCATCTAAAACTGATAAATTTGAGAGCACTTGGTTTACCAAAAGAACAACAATAACAAAACAGTTCCATACACAAATCTTGTCCAGTTATGTATAATTACAGTAATCATTGAGATGTGTATCTTGACCACTTCACCTGCAGTTGTTGAAGAAGACTTTCATGAAGATGCTTTATTTCCAGCCAAGGCTCTTCACTGAATTTGGGATTTTTAGTACATTCCAAAAGATAATTTCCTTGAGATTTTAACTCCCTTAGCAAGGATGTCAAATCTTGTGCTTTCTTGAGAAATTTCTTATAATTTTTTAACTGAGTTTGCTTCTCCTGCAGACCGTGCTGCACAGCAAACCCCGATTCCTGTTTCTTCTTTAGTTCTGTGAGCATCAGTCTTAAATCCTCCTTGCTTTGCAAATACTTCTCTCCTTCTAATAGAAGCTTTTCTTGATGGCTAAATGTCACAAAACAGTCCATAAACAAAATGACAATTTAGCAAAACGAAGTGGCATTTTACATAATAATATACAACATACATAATGCAAATACATAATGCAACATACATAATACATAATGCAACATACATCATAATAAACAGCATTAAAATAACACTAATATACATTATTCCCTGAGATTCTTTTAGCATAACAACATTCAAAGTAGCATTATGTTTAGCTCAGAAATCAAGATAGAAATTATTTGGGCATTACTAAAAAATGCTTTTCTCTTTATAATTGGACCAGAAAATATTTAATGATTTAGATTTCAAGTTAGTCTCAACACTTTTTAAATACATCTAGTATATAATTATATTAACCTGTATTTTACTTTTTCATAAAAAAATTATTCTGTATATTAACCAAATAACTAGTTTATGCTTACTATTGCCTAAATTTAGTTCTGACCTGATTGCCTCCTCAGAAAAAGATAAAATTCACATTTCCAAACATTAAACATACCTATTTAGATGTGATATGAATTAAAAACTTTCACCAAAATTATGCCCATTGGATTCAGCCAACATTTATCAATGATGACACATTTAAGAACCTCTTAAAATAAGTATTTAAAGTCTTTTTTTTTTTTTAGACAGAGCCTCAAGCTGTCCCCCTAGGTAGAATAACGTGACATCACAGCTCACAGCAACCTCCAACTCCTGGGCTCGAGCGAGTCTCCTGCCACAGCCTCCCAAGTAGCTGGGACCACAGGTGCCCACCACAACGCCCGGCTATTTTTTTGGTTGCAGCTGTCATTGTTGTTTGGTGGGCCTAGGCTGGATTCAAACCGCCACGTTAGGTGTATGTGGCTGGCGCCTTAGCCACTTGAGCCACAGGCACCGAGCCAGTATTTAAAGTCTTAATTATTCTGTAGTGATATCACACAGATGCAGAGGCTGTCTGGTGGTGAGAGGGTTTGGTACAGAAGCAGAACAATAATGTTAATTTGTGACTGGGAACCCCAGGAGCTGATGCACTGGATACAGTAAACTCTGGCACAGAATTGTAACAGAGCTGTTTGTTTCCCATCTGATCTGGAGAACTATTCCTCCTGGTTTCTGCCTCTGACACTGCAGATGCCCCTGACCTTGCTCACGTGGTCTCCAACAGATATCAATCCAAACCCAGGAGGCAGACAAAACATACTCGTTATGACTTCACTGTGCAAGAAGACCCGATGGAAGTGGTGCCGGCCTGGCCTTTACCTTAGGTATGTGTTGGCTAAATGCAACGTGTTGTCCCACTGGTTGCTGATGTCAGTAAGGGTCTTCTGAGCCAGTGGGGACTCATTGCTGTCAGCCTGCTGCGTGATGGTCTCTATCTTGGCGTCCCCTACAGGCTTTAGTAAAATGATTTCCTGAATTAAACAAAAAAGTTCTTAAAATTGCATTCACATTCCTTAGGGATATTACACGATATCTCTTCATTTGTGAGATTTATATTGGGGTTCTAAGTGCAGAACCTATTTCAAAGTAACTCATTTTTATCTGTGCCCCAAAGACCAAAGTCTCTCTCTTCTCAATACCCAGGGTTAGTTCTCGATAAACATTTGCCAGTTTGAGCTGACTAAAGTCCTGCCCTCCTCTTGATTTTCAACCACCATTTTTATATCCATCCCCCTAAACCCTAGCAAAACCTCCTTCCTATCCACTTTATTATTTATAGGTGGAATGGTTACAATAAGAACTTGAAAGATAGCCAGTTGCAGGAGTTCACGCCTGTAATCCTAGTCCTTTGGGAGGCAGGTGGATTGTTTGAGCTCAGAAGTTCAAGACCAACCTGAGCAAGAGTAAAACTCCGTCTCTACAAAAAATAGAAAAATCAGCCAGGTATTATGGTGGGTGCCTGTAGCCCAAGCTACTTAAAAGACCGAGGAAGGAGGATCATTTGAGCCTATGAATTTGAGGTTGCTGTGAGCTATAACATCTCTGCCCTCTAGGCTGGGCAACACAGCAAGACCCTGTCTCTCAAAAAAAAAAAAAATACTAACAAAAAACTTAACAAGATATTTTTATAATATAAGAATAAACTCACAGCTTCCTACAGAAAAATGCAGTGACCCTCATGCCAACCCTCGTCTCTCCCCCATGACATAATTAATGCTTGTTCTCTGTTCTTCTCTTTCCTGCCTTTGCTCTCACAATCAAGTTCCCTTCATTCCCTTTTTAGAAACATTGTTCAAGATTTACTTTCTCTGGGAAAATTTTTGGATATAATCCCAATTATATTCTAATTATTCCGATTCCAATTATTCGCTAAGTCTCACCACCCCTCCAGCTTACTATTCTGGACCATTTCTTCCTTTAGCAACACTTCAATTAACGTGGCTTTAGTTCTTCTAGAGCACATATGCTTCTGTTGCTTATATTTTTGACCAGTAATTACATTTTTTAATTTATTGTAATTAAATAATTTCATTTAAAAAAACAAATTTAATTATTTAGGCATTTACTGACTCTCCCCTTGTAATAAAAGTGAGCTCAAGTGGGCTTAGGACTTCCTTGCCTTCTACATTCAGTATCTAATAACCTCTTATATGCTGTACATATTCACTCTGAAGATAAATTTCTCTGTAACCTTGACCTTGACATGGCTCTTATTTTCTGCTGTACCAACATATATTCTTTTTACACCCTAGCAAACTCCCACCTGCTGCAGCTCTGACCTGTTGTCACTATTTCTATTCTTCTACATTCAGTGAAGATGGACAATAACCAGGCTTTCATTGTTCCCTCGGGGAGAGACTAGACATTAAAGCTTTCTCTGTTGTAAGCTCCATGATCTGAAGTTCTTCACAATTCCATAGTGATCCCATTTCCCACTAAGAAACAAATCTTTGCAGTTTTCAAAATAAGAGTTTGTCTGACCTCTGAAATTTAAGTTTCCATGGTTATACCTTTATTTTTTGGATTCTTTCTTCAAGGGGCATTTTGCCTTCAGATGAATTCAAAACCAAAAGGGACTCTTTAATCTCGTCTATCCAGTGAATTACATCATCTGCAAGATCATGAAAGCTCTGGTTCTCAGCAGGTGGTAACTTATCTTCTTCCTCAATTTCTTCTAATTTTCTCAGGAATGTCTGGTATCTATCGATCAAATGTGTTGATTCTATTATTGCTTCTTCATCACTGAGCCCATATTCCTTCAAGGAATTGTTCAACTGTGCCATAGATTCAAATTGTTCCCTGTAAATACAAAATATCATTGAAAGTCTGTAGGAGTAAGGACACCATGGAAGAAACCATATCCCAGGTGATGTATTTAAAACAAGATATACCTCTTTCTAGGTAATGCTTGGCAAAATAGCTCAGTTTTCTCTACTGATTCTTCCATTTCTTTCCATTTCTCTTCTTGATTAGCCAACCACTTACTCAGGTTTCTGTGGTCATCCTGGAGTCTAAAAGGACATTACACATAAGTGAACGTAAACTAAACAAAAAGGGTTTATGCTAAAGAGAAGGATGGCACAAATCTTGTAAATCTACCAGGTTTTTACTATATGTGCTTGTTATTTCCTTAAAGAAAACTTAACAGCCTATATTATAGTAGGATTCTACAGTATTAAAGCAATAAACTGGGGCAGCCAAAGCAATAAACCGGCCAGCCGCATATGCTGGAGGTGGCGGGTTCGGACCCAGCCCTGGTCAAAAACCACACACACACACACACAAAAGCAATAAACCACACAAATGCATCATAAAGAACAGGCAACAGCCAGTTATAGAGGTGGCTCACACCTGTGACCTTAACACTCTAGGAGGGCAGCCTGAGCAAGAGTAAGGCCCCATCTCTACTAAAACTAAAAAGAAAAAGTTAGCCAGGAGTGGTGGTGCATGCCTACAGTCCCTGCTACTTGGGAGGCTGAGGAAGGAGGATTGTTTGAGCCCAGGGGTTTGAGGTTGCTGTGAACTATGATGATGCCACAGCACTTTACCTGGTTGACAGAGAAAGAAAAGAAAAGAAAAAAGAAGAAGGGGGAAAGGGAAGAGAGAAAGGGAAGAGGGAACGGGAAGGAGGAAAAGGAAGGGGAAAAGGAAGGGGGAAAAGAGGGAAGGGAGAAGGTAAGGGAGAAAGGGAAGAGGAAGAGGAGAAGAGAGGAGAGGAGCAAAAAATATTTTTGGACTATCTTTTTCTGAACTTTCATATTCCTAGTGCCAAAACTGTCTTTATTGGTGAAATTTGTGTGCTGTATGTATCCTAGCGCTCTCAGCACTGAGGCAGAGCACAAATAAAGAAACACAAAAGTTATTTAGATGTCACCTTTATTCCCTACCTCAATAGCTGCTGCAAACAGCCCTCAAGCTCCTTTGCTCGTGACTGGCATATGGACTCCATTTTTTCTAATTCAAATTCTTGACCTGTAAGCCAAGTGGTCAGCTCCTTAACCTGTGCTTTGGGCAGAAGCTTCTTCACATGATTCAGTAAGGTATCCACCTGCTGGATTTTACATCTTCTTCCTTCAAGGGTCAAGAAATCCTGAAGAAAGACAAAAGGTCAGTTAGGACCTCCTGAAAAGTCTGAGTATGGTATCTACCACCCAACAACACTTCTCTAAATGAGTACACAGGGTGTGTACACCGGCATTTACTTCTGACTTCCTGAAAATGATATCAAACAAAATAATGTGCTTGAAGGTCAGTAGGAATAAGAACAGGAAGCTGTGTCTTTCCACCAGGTTCCACTCAACCTCTCCTAAACACCTTCTCCTTTCTGGTGATTAATACATAAAACTAAACAGATTATTCTCTATTTAACTTTGTCCAAATCAGAATTATACATGTATCAATGCTTGTGTTTCAAGGTTTGTGTGTCAAATGCTGAGCCCCAGGCAATGGGGAAATTAAAGGGATTTCAAATTTGAAAAAAAAAGTGATTCTATCAGTAAAGAATGGTACCTTCCCAGCAAGAAATTAAACAGAGATCATTTAGTGCCACCCATAAGTTCAGAAACTTCAAAAGACTAAAGTGTTAGCTAATCTACCCTAAAGTGATCAAGATTTAGGGGCACCAGAGGCATTTTTTTTTTTTT